CTTGTAAACGTTTGTGCAAGGTATGAAAAGCATCGGATTGCGGCATTAACATCAACAGAGCCGAGAGCACGGTAGACAATGAGCGCTGGTGGGATGCCGACAGTAGATCCATACGAACATCTTGAATTAAAGATTGTACGTTAAAGAAAAAGGAAGAAGGTTGTATGTTGAAGGAAAAGGAGAAAAGGGAAGAAATAAGCTGCACTCATCAATGTCAGGTGGAAATTCGCTTGAAGCAGTATCAAGGCGACTTAAAAAGTTAGAGATCGAAAAGCGAGACCTCAGTCAAATGAATTCTATGCTACCATTTGGCACGTCATTATTGTAGAGAGGAAAAAAAAGCGTGAAAATGAATAGAACAGATTCAGCACAGTAACTAAAGCGTGTCGCTTGCATGAACTCAACTAGTAGTCGGTTCAATTTGAATAAAATGAAAACTTACACGCTAGCACAGGGCTCTCTATCATATTAACCAGTTTGTCAATTTCCACGAGTACATCCAACGTCATATCCACCTGAAAAAACGGTAAATATATTACCTCATCAGTAGTCTAAAGCCTTGTTCGCTGCGGATGAAGGGCCGTGTCATTAGGGAGGGGTTTGTTGCGGCGCCAGTCCGTTTTTTTTTCGGCAAACGACCATACCGCATCATGTCGTTCGTATCAGTTGTTTCCAACCAATCACTGTCGCATGGACGCTGCAACAACTGGTGGAGAACGAACTATTGGCGTGCGGAACCTTCAAAACCCACCTTCTTTGACACCCCCTCCTCCTATCCTACGCAGTGAACGAGAACGTGAAAGAATGAAGGAACAACCGAGACTGGTGTGCCGCTATGAGAGAAACAATTTTGCTGGTGTACTCCTAATAATGACCTAATACCGAACAATATCAACCCCTTAATCTTTGCGGAAGTTCTCCGACAATCGTCTCCATGAATCTTACCAACTTACGTTTGTTGCGAAACTGTAGCTCCTCATTAACAGTATTCCCGTTTCCTAAACTTGTAGCCCCCTCCAACATTTACATGAGTTGCACCCTTGAAAACAGCCTTTTGCTAGACGCTCATGAGCACATCGGCCGTTTAGATTCATTTTACCGAATAAAAGCGAGCAAATATGAGCAGAAAAATAAAAAAGCTCGAAATAACCATAGTTCACAGAAAAAACGCAACGTCTCAGGGATAAGTCGGAAACTGGGCTATAATTGAAAATTGTACCTCTGACAACAGCAAAGCGATTTCAGCTGCTTGTGCATAGTTTTGGGAAAGTAGGCATAATCCAAGTAGGGCTATCGGCCGGTAGCACCAACATCGAAAGACGCATTCAAATAACGATACTGAGTCCTGAATGCATATTGCACATCCCCTTAGTGTTCTTCCAGGTCATCTACGGCGACAAAGATGAAGAAGCTCCAAGAAGAAAACGTGAGCAGCTCCAACCTTTCCTTCCAGCTTCCGTAGTTGATCCCGCAGAATAAACAACTCTGTAGCAGTCAGTAGAACTCCATGCAGCATTGAGACAGCATTCTGGAATTCACGTGAGACTTATTTTCATGGGAGCTTACCACATTAATCACTGAAACGTTCAAGGAATCTAGAACAAAAGGTCCCCACCTGTATGAAAGTGATGCTTTGTTCCCTCAAAAGTAGTACACAAAGAGCACGATAGATATGTGCTGGTTCCATCAGAAGACACAGTTGCCTGGAAAACATTAGCTCAATGCTAGGTAAATGAACCTAGTTAATCAACTCCAGTCTGCGACTATACCGAATGATAAGAACACCTCTGTCGTTGAGGAGGGCTGGTTCTGCACGGAACATTTCCAGAAGACTGACAGCAAATTTTATGAGAGATGGGGACACTGGTGCTAACTGAATGGAAAATGTATAGACATGGTACCACAGGTGAATAAGGTTTCGGAATACCAGTTGAATATCTGACATTTTTCATAGTATCCTCGCTTAATTGAAAACTTGACAAGTTCACATCGTAGCGATCCGTGTTGGATTGACATATATCCGAAAGAAGATGCAGGTCGAGAAGTAATACCTAAGTTTAAAGAGGTAAATGTTGAATGTTAATGAGCCGAATGCTTTAAATTTTCCAACAAAACTTTACCATACCCTTAGATATGGCATGGATAACGTTACTCGCGAGGGGACTTCAGAAAAGAAATTGAAATGACTGCCAGATTCGCAATCAACAACCCAAAGCAATAACCTGACGTGAACCCCGACACACTAAAGGAACGCCACAAGCCTATCTACAATCCTCCCTCCGCTCCTACGTTGTAGACTTTTAATGACTCGCTATCAACATGACACTGAAGCGCCGTCTTCATCAAATGTTACATTTCAGACACAATTCCAACGCAAGGATCAATGTTACATCCTCTAATACAATTTCAACAAGTAAGCCTCAAAGCATAAAAACGTTTCCAAAGGAAAACACAGCAATGACTGAAGTTGGTACAGCTAAAGAATGAAAACGTACCTCATCTGAAGTATCCGAGAGAGTTCCTAATAGTACGGGAAAGATTCTTTCCATATGCACAAACAGCTGAAAGATAAACACTTTTAACAAAACGATGTCTTGGGACGGATCTCCTCTCATCCCAACGAAGTGCCCAGAGGGCCATTATTGAGGCATCACACACTCTGACACTTACAGAAAAAGTCGCGGGAGTTTCGCATCTCTGCTCTACATGGAGTAAAGGTGGATTCAGTTAAACGAGAGATAATCGAAGCGGAAGAAGTAAGGAAGCAACCACCACCGATCAACAGCAACGAGCACATCAGAGTGGTGAAGGGCTAGGTATGAATGTCGTGATAGTTGCTACAGTAGGTCTGTCTTTGTTCTGCACGTATGTAGACTAACAAAGCCTCACTTTCCTTTTTTCTACAAATGTACATCTAATAAGATGTTTTCCCCTCTTTTGTTCAACAAGCACGTTAATGCGGCTATTACTATCTGCGCTATAGCAAAACTGCCCGAGCCATGAAACTTTTACCAAAATGGAAACTCATGGAAAACTCAAGAAAACGGGAAAGCACTAGAGAAGAAGTGCCACAGCTGCTTTGGTCAAACCCACATTTTCCTTTTCTTACTAGGGAAGGTCGTCAGGTCGAAGTGGCCATTTGTAATGAGATGTAGCTCACTAGACGTGGTTTTGGACGCTGATCTCGAATCTGCCTTCGAAATTTGCAGAGCGATTCTCTGAACGGAATTATAGGTTTGTTAGAATTAAAATGAAGGAAAACGGAGTCGAGCGCGGTTGCCAGCCAATTCGCATGAATAGCCGGGAAGCACCCTTACGTTCAACGGCGGCATGGTGTAGTGGTAATGGTCTTGCTTCGCGGGCATGCCATGAAGGGTTCGAATTTCTGGAAGGGAACTTCTTTTGCATTTTGTGGGGAATGTCTCTTTTAAGTCTAGAAAACACTCAAACGCCAAATGGGTGCCATATTCGTGTTCAGGGAGCAAAACTACCCTTGGGGACAGGTTTCTAGCCAGATGTGAGGTTTTGACCTAACTTTGAAAAGTGCGGTAGCAGTTGATCGAATGATGGCAATAGTTCCAGGGCCAGTCTCTTGTCGATTGCTTGTCTTTGGACGGAATTTGCTTTTAGATACCAGGAAAACTGGAGCAGTAACAACATGAATGCGTAAGAAGTGGCAAGACGAGGCTTTGTGCAGGAGAATGTATCTGCAGCTGAATAGGTGTGAACATCAACTGAACTAACCCATGGATGGTTCAATTATGGAAGTCAGGTCAAAATGCCAGATTTGGCTAGCAACTTGTGTATAAAGGTATTTTGACCCGCTGAACACGAATATGACACTCGCTGAGCGCGAAAACGCCTGTATCGCGCACGACGGGCACCTGTACGCCCCAATCTTTTCCTGCACTACAAGGCTTCTACAAGGAGCCCAAGCGCAGTAATAAATGGGCAAAGTTTTCTCAGGCAAGTTTAGGTGAGCACTGAAGTAGTAGAAGTAGTAGTGATTGCTTTTTGCCACGTTTGCGCAACAAGCAAAAAAGTTAAGCTCAGCAGGGATCCGATCCCATGACCTGTTGCGTGGTAAACGCGGCTCCATAACTCCGTTCAGAGAATCGCTTCTGCAAATTTCGAAGGCAGATTCGAGATCAGCGTCCAAAACCACGTCTAGTGAGCTACATCTCATTACAAATGGCCACTTCGACCTGACGACCTTCCCTAGTTAGAACATTCAAAAAAAAACTGGGCAACGTGTGGATCTTTTTGCAAGGATATTCGAGATGATCGGTAAGAGTCTTGCATCACATGTGAAATGACTACAGACTCAATCTTTTAGGAAAAACGGAAAAGCAGCCATTATATTACCAGAGAAGGCATTGTCGCATTCAGATGTCGTATCCAGTTTAATACAGCTATCCGTGTATCTTGCTTTTTATACCCAACAAACTTCAGCAGAACCTCTGAATACAGCTGAATTAACATTTTCGCATCCAATTTTCTTGATAATCAGTGCAATTCTCAAAAATTCAAAAGTTGATAACAAGACATAAAAGCAAACTAACCGACTACGCAGGACATTGTTTGTTCGTCCATCTTGGTATTCGTATCAATAAGTTGTAGAAGATATTCATTGACACTTTTCGCTAAATAGCAAGGAATCCCATAGTTTATAATCTATCTACGAATTTATAATCAAGTCCAGGTGTTTAGGCTCACCTTTCAAATCTTCACAATCTAAGGAAGGCAAAACAGCGGTCAAGAAGGTTGACAAGTATGGGAGCATTTTCTCGTTGTATATTCTGAGAAAAAAATCGAAATAAATTTACCATTGAAAAATAATTCAAAATTAGAAGAAAAAGAGGGAACAAAGCCATATTTACACCTAAAAGAGTTACCTTAAAAACTCATCCATCCATATAAGAGATAGTTTTCTCCCCAAAGCTGGTTCATCCTCGTGCGCATGGGCGAGCAACACGCTCACAACTTGTGACCGATCATCCTGAAATGTATTAAGTATTTTGTAGACTGCAAAATTAACTTTGCTGGGCGCAGCCCACACAACCAAAAAGGGCATGGAAGCACTGAGTCTAGAGATTTCTCACTGATACCTCTTTTAAGGGTTGACAATGAGTGCAACGAAACGTGACTCACATGACTAAGTGCTCCCGGCTTGTTGTGAATTCCTTGCAAAAACTGGCCCAAAAGAGTTTCCGTAACATCTCTAACAGCAGGTTGACCATCGGCTAACATTCTAAAGAGGCCGTCGGAGACCTCAGCGACATACGGTAGCAGGTTGAAAGCCGGTGTTGTGAGCATCACGTTCAACTGGAAGTCAAGCAACTCGATATCGACAAAGTGATTGCGAAATGCCATTAACCACCCACCCATGTCACAATAAATTTCCTATTAGAGCTAGTCTGGACATAAATACGGTCCCTTATTAGACTCATCAGATTGGCAATATCAAAATCCTCTTTCGATACGACAATATCCTGAGAAAATTGACAATTATCGTGTACTGAGAAAATACTCTGAAGCTTACCATGAGCAAACGATCAAGAAGTTCTGCTCCACTGCGCACGTTCTGGTCGGTGTCCGCGGATAACTAAATATTCCTGTGGTAAACGATTCAGAAATATTGAAGATAAAGCACAATTTTGTTATAACTCGGAATATCGTAAACCTTCCACAAAACATCGAATAATTGGTCGAAATGACTGAGTACAGCGACTTTGCAGATTTTGACGATATTATAAAGAGACTGAAATGAAAGTAATGTCACTGAACACAAAGGGGTCTAAAAGCACACGGGGTAAAAAATACAGACAGCATTTCTGACCTCACATGCGTAATATCGCACTCGCAAATCCGGGTCATTGAAACACGACAGCACTGGTTCAATTAGGTGGACGGTATAGGGCGGTGCATTCTGAAAGACACATTGAAAGTTTTGATTACATTCCATTAAATGGACCTCAAAAGGCATTATGCATTGTTGGACATGAACTGGTGGAAATAATTCAGTCATTTCGGAACCATCTGCTCAGAGAACCCCTATTCTGAGGGGTTGGGACTCCGGAATTAAATAGAGCAGGCACAGGTATAACAGCCCAAAGTGGAGCCGGAAAACTGTATAAGTGGAAGGTAGGCCAGTATCATGCTTTCAATGTGGTATGCCGCTTCGCAGTTCTCTGTCTTCGAAAACGTAAGTCTAGTTCGTTGCCGATGACGGGGCGTGTAAGCGCGGCTGTGACGGGCGCGCCGCCATTTGCCAGTTTTCCACCAGTTTCTGAAGAGGGTATACGACAACAACTGGTGGAAAATGACTGACACGAATGATATGATAGCTTTGCTGCGTGCTGAAATAGAAAAAAAAACGGGTTGGCGCAACCCCAAACGCAGCCGCGCCGAAACGCACACCATCCGAAACGAACGAGACTGTACGAAAAATCGGAAAGATAACACCAAAGATATTGAGTGAGCTCGTTGAAATACAAATATGGGTCCACAACCTTTCCAAGTGCGATAGCTGCTGCCGCTAATCCTATAAGACCTCCTTTTCGAGTGTGACCATTTGATGCCATAGCCAACTCACGAAGAACTGTGAGGAGTTTTTCCAACTGTGACAATTGATTTGTGGCATGAAGATCCCGGACCATCCTGAAAATGGTCTGTAGAGAGTTGCTTTAGAGTTATACAAGAAATCCCTGAGATCGGGTAGGCGGGGCTGCACACTTAATTTTAAAATGGCGGCGGCCCAGGTTTTCGTGAGATATTTTCATTTTGGAACAGTCGTAATCATGTCTACATTTAACACAGAACAAGATGGCAGTTGTTTCAAACTGAAGTATCCCACGAGTAACCCGTCCTATGCCATGCTCAAAAGCCACGCCTACTCCGTCTCAGGGATGAGGAGTTATATGTCTGTGGCAATCTTTGATGAGGGAGTCATTCAACACTTGTGATCGCTGGACAAAGGATAGCTGTGAATATGGCTGCAAGAGCTCGGTAATGTGAGCTCATTAGTAAAATTATAACGTTACGTGTGTGAGGAGGTGGGAGGTATTTAACGATGAAAAAGTTTCTCTACTATAGTTTACTCATAATATTTGTTGAGTTAGGCGCACATTAGTTGCGCTGTAACTCTGCAGGTATTCCTTCACAAAATGATTTCACCAAACTGTGAAATCACAGAGTTTTCAATTGTTAGGAGCATAAGGCCGCGTTCATGTTGAGCGACTGAGGAGATTCGGCGGTTTGGGAGACTCGGTGACACGAGAGATCGCGCGACGAGAGTTGGGGAAAGTACAGGTATCGGTCTGGCGATCGTGTACATTCGGCGACACGGCGTTTTGGGAGATTGCGCGCTAAAGGAGTTGGTCGGTATCGATCGGCGGCGGTCTCTAGCGATTGCGGAAACTCGGCGTTCCGGCGTCCAGCGCTTGCGATTTATTGGGCGATCCGGCGCCGACCGATACCCTTGCAATCCTTCGGCTCGAAATCGTCCGAAACGCTAAGCCTCCCAAATCACCGGATTGCTCAATCTCCCAAAAGGTCTGATCCTTCACTTTTCCCAGTTGGTACGCCATCATCGTTCGCGTAATCTCTCGAATCGCCGACAACTCCGAACCTCCACAAAATCACCCGCAAAGAATGAACACGTCCTAAGAGAATGCTCTGGTCATTAAGTGTTCAGACTTTGACCCTATTCCTGACTACTCTGTAAGATACCTTGAAAGTTGGGGTGTTGATTCGCCGATTTGTCGGTCCATCCACATCCAGGGTGTGACTAATGGAGAGGAACCGCTGACGAAACTGTAAGCCAGGTGGATGTGCGTGTATGCGGTGGGGAGGAGGGGGGGGGGATGGGGAACGTGTGGTAACCACAGATAAGGGCTGATGATTGGGCCAAAACGCAAGGTTCGTGAAATCCCGCGTCGCAATTTTATTTGTGTTGATTCAGCAGAGGATTTGACAATGAGGAGTGAGATGAAAGTTGTCCACTATCAATAGCATATGCAAATTTGTTGCTAGGTCTGTATTGACGGTATGGCTGTCAAAGAGCCTTGGAGTGCGAAAAGGAAGTAAAAGGAGATCGATGCTAGCAAGCTTGAGAACTACTCAGTGTTGCTCAATTTTGAGATGTGTAATCATCACATGAGCTGTTTGTGAAGACATCCTTTACAAGAATAGACGCCCCTTGGTGGATATAGAAGTCACTGTGATAGACGCTCGAGATGCATTCGGTACATTCAGTGGCATTTCATCCAGTAGCAGGAGATCCCGTGGAGAAGTACAGGTCTATGAACCTAATATCTCAACGGCGATTAACCCACAACATTGTGCAGCACGGTATTGGGAAACTTCAGCGGGTGATCCAGCTCCTCACTTTTCCCTCTAGACGGTACCGTGGTTTTCTCCGGAAAGGCATCTGAGCAACCGTTAAAGAAAGGAACGGCTCCATCTCTTTCGAATAGTAGAGTCCTCATTCGGAACTCAAAGAACACAATGACAGAAGTGCTACAGATGACTTGTGAGAGTGCAGGACTAAAACAAGGCGTGTTCACTTGCTCCACATACGATAAAGCTTAAGCAAAGTGAAATAATGCCTACCTCTCTATGTCTAGGGCTGCAGCTTTCCTTTTCTCGTAGAGCTTATCCGTTAACGTCCGAACGGTGTTCGCTGTCAACGGGGCGTATTGATTGCAGCTATCCTGCTATCGAGTTGAGTTTTATTCAGAAATAGTCTTGTTCCCCCCCCGAAAGAAGGCTTAAACATCCAAGAAAAGTTCACGTGGATTCGAGCAATAGAACGAAACCAGATTAACAGGTTAACCATCAGAGGGCGTTTTCGAGGATAAACGATTAAATGTCGACAAGAGTGAACATTCTAAATTTTCTGCTCGAAATTCTGATGGATTTAAATTAATCCCCACGTAAACACCAAAACATTGGAAGCTCCACTTCAGGCATGCTCCTTGAAGTTGCCTGCACTGTAGAGCGAACTTCTAGGCGTAGATCCAGCTGGATATTGGCTGCAATTACGTACAAAACTGTCTACCGTACCAAGGCACCCCTAGACGTGCTCTCGCCGCGAGGGTCGGGTGTATTCTCACGTGGCATACTAGTCGTAGTTGAAGGAGAAAGTAAAGGAGGAGGGATCAGACAAGGAATGAAGGAGAAGAAGGAAGGAGGAAGAAAAAGGGAAGTGAGGAGAGGCTTCCCGGCTGACAGGTGCCCTGAGACGGTGATCTCGGGTTATGACATGCCTGTGGCTGGGATGTGTGTTTGTTTCTGATAGCACTTGTTTTGTTTTCGTTATGTTTCCCAATCTCTATAATTTTTACTGTCCCCATCATAGCCTTTACACTCGTTTTTCAGGGAGTTCCAGCTCCACCAGGCCACTGGGTCGACGGATCCTTGATTTCGGGTGTTATCAGGCATTACACGGTTGCGAGGTCTGTTAACCTGAGAAGGTGCTGTAGCTGGTAAAGTTGTCCGTATTAAGATAGATTTTTAGGCCTATACATATTTAATTGTAACAACAATGATAATATCTGGAAGGAGGGGACTTGGCAGTAGAGTCGAGGAGGTTCGAGAGCGCGGAACATCAGCATGTGAGCACTCAATACCACATGTCGCGGAGGTATCGTCCTCTCAATTGCCGCACCAGCTTCCTTACGATACCGTAATCTTCGCGGGCTAACGCCTTCACAGGATCGCTGGCTCCGACAGTGTTACACTGCCCTCCAACCGGGCTCTCGCGCTAGTATGAAGGGACAAAAGGAGGTACGTAAGCAGAATAAGAGGGAAGCTTTAACATGGAGAACAAGGTTCAACGTACCAGACTTGGAGGGGGACTCCGTTCCATTTGCAAGCTCGACCGCGAGGTTCGACCTGGTTCCCTTGGATTTGCAAAGATGTTCGCACGACATTCCGAGTGAATCTTGGTAAAAAAAGAATTTGTAACAATCCTTGGATTTAAGCAATGTCGAATTCGTGTATTGTGGAGGGCGTTAACGACCACGGAGATGTTTTATATATTGCATGACACACGAGTTCCTCAGGAGTGGGCGAATGAAACTGAGAAGGCTACCGAAGCAAAATCTAACAAAACACGGTATGTTTCTGTAGAGCGGATAAAAAAAGATTTTTCCGTTCTGTTTCATGCTTAGAGAATCAACAAGAAGACATTAAGGGGTACTTTTTTTCTTTTTTTCGTCGAGAGTATCCCTGCTATCCTTATCTTGCTAGTTTAAGAAGAGAAAGATGAACATGGATGTGTTTAGACACTGTGCGCGCGTTTCATGCAGTTGACGAAGTCTCCGTCGTGTTCATCTGAAGATGAGGTGGTCGACAGACCAAATCCCAGGGAACTAGCGAACAATCGGGATTTGGGCGAATAGTAGTCGAAGAGATTCGAAAACTGTTCATTGGCGAGAACAAACCTACTCAGCCAAAATGGGCCCAGGTCATAATTGTCGAATTTCTTATTCAATGGACTGTTCAGACTCGACGACTTAGGATTTCTTTCATGGAATAATTCTTTGGACGCCTCGTTCGTAGTCAACTCATGAAACGCGCGTAAATCCGACATGCGGGCTTACACAGCGAGGAGTACCCTGCAGATTCTGGGGCATATGAAGGAGGGGCTCATATTCACTGCTTTCTTTTGTTTTATTATAATTTGTGTATCGGTTCTGTTCGGGTCCTTGATAACTACGTATTTGTTTAATTACCCAAATTTGAGGTTGCTTACTGGAGATAAATTGTTCTATTGTTATTGTCCGTGTTCACTCTGCTATCCTTCTTTAGACCCCTTCTCGGTCTACCGAAATCTTTAGAGACCATCACAGCGGAACATGTGGAAGGAGGTATAGAGGAACACTTACCAGGTTTTCTTGCCACTATAGGTATGGTGTCATCTCCTGTGATCGAAGACTTCATGGGAGAGCTTCGCACATCTAGAAGATTGGCAGCATCGCACATTTGTCTGAGAATTCATGCACTTATCGGTCCAGATCAAATTAAGATTACTTCCAGTTTGAATGCTGCAGTGTTCGTAAACGCAGGAATGGCCGAAATCAGGCAAGAACGTCTCACTCATGATCTTAAAGATCTCTCATAACGCTGAGCAAGGCTGCAGTGAGTGCCGCTTATCCATCAGTGATCCTTGGACTCAGCACTTCGTGCTAGTGAAACGAGTGATCAGACTTATTAATGACAGCACACATATGCCTGTGAATCCATGTGTTTTGAACGGTGTTCCAAATATTGGACCTTGCAGATTTTTTTGTCCCCTGTCTGAATCAAGGTTGCAGCTTATGAGCTTGCCCATCTGCGCTGTGGGGCTCAGTACCGATATGCCTTCGCTGGAAAGAGTTGATCTAGCAGGAAGGAAAAAGACCTTAATGAGCTCGAACAATTGGACCTGCTACCTGATGACAGACGGCCATTAAAAGTTGCTAATTGCTGGAAGTATTGCAAAAAGGTGTTCTTCAGCAGCGGTTCACTGGGTGTGAAAGGGGTTGAGTGAAACTGTGATGGCAAAACTAAATTATGCTTTTTCGTTTTTTTTCATTTTCGAAGTCGCTCATTCGAAACATTCACAACCCAATCCAAAGACCTGCAGGCTGTTGGCTATAGCACTAGACACTTTTTGAGCAGCGCCGTCTAAAACTGAACTCAAGTGTCGCGTCTACTTGATCCATCTGCCTCGAATACAGGTTTCCTGCACTCAGTCTGCAGGTCTTCGAGCGTCCACGTGCAATATATTGCGAGGAAAGGAAAAGCGAGCCTCACACACTGAAAATTGAGAAACCTCACAATTTTTCGGTGTGAGGCTCGCTGTAAGAAGAGCGAGCCTCACACACTGAAAAATTTGAAACGCAGTAGAGCAGAAAAATCTAAGATGTGTGAAAATACTTGAGTCCAAGAGTGCAAAAGTCGACAATATGTTGTTGCGAACGTTCATGGCATTTGATAGTGTGGTCGTCTTATGCACGTTCCGTATGTTTTTTACTGTATTGTTTTATTCTAATCGCATAATATTAGGTTGTCCGGAAAGTTCTCAGCGTTTTGTGTTACTATTTTTGTACATTCATTGCTGATTAAAACTCATTCTCCCTTGCGTCTCAGTAGTACATCCTGAAGAGAATTTTTTGCGCTATCTGATGGTATAATTGCCGTTTCACCATTGCTTGATAAACCCCCTTTTCCCTTTTTGAAGCATGTCAAAAGAGCAACTTCGGACGATATTTTTCTTCAACTACAAATTGGGTCAATCCGCAGTCGAGACAGCTCGACAAATTAACCAGGTGTGGGGGCCCAATAGTGTTGGAGAAAGCATGGTTCGACAAATTTCGTTCTGGAGATTTCAGCCTGGAAGATGAACCTCGTAGCGGTCGACCTAAAGCAATACCTGACAGATTGAAGGCGTTTGTGGAGGCTAACTATAATAAGATGGAGATATTGCAGTAAAGATAGGCTGGAAATCCACTGTTGGATGTACGAAACGCATCGGAAGGTGAAAAAAATCGACAAGTGGGTGTCCAAATTTGGAGTGACCGAGGAATTGCACTACCGAGGTTTCTTCTTCACTGCTTTTGCGCACAGAAACGACCCGTTTTTGGACCGAAGTTGTCACCTGTGATGAAAAGCGGATCATGTATGATAACAGGAGACGTCGGAGGTGGGTTTGATGCACGGGAGGTAATTTTCAAAGCCGAACCCTCACGAAAAAAAGATTCTGGTCACGGCTTGATGGTCATCGGCTGGTGTGATCCACTATAACTTTTTATCCCCAGCAGCATCAATCACAGTAGAGTCCTACTGTGAAGAAATCGACGAAATGTGCCGGAAATTGCGTCTGCAGCCAGCACTTGTCAACAGAAAGGGTCCGATTCTTTTGCATGACAACGCTCGCCCACACGTTTCACAAATCACTACCCATAGATTGAACGAATTGATTTGAGTTATGGCTCATGCCATATTCTTCAAAGCTTTTCACTCAACGATCTATCCGTCCTTTTTCAAAGCATTTTTAAAACCTCTGCTGGAAAATAATAGGTTGGCACTAGTACTATTTCGTTTTTTATCACGAAATTTTGTTCCGAAGATGAAATGGTTTGCTAGCAAGCTTGATATCATCTGATAGGAAACTTCACGTAGTTTTAAATATCAATACGGCTTTGGTTGAGGGAATGATTTTTGTGGATTTTTTAGTCGATGAATTTGAAAGCGAAGTCGGCGAAAATTAGACTTCGCACTGCGTCTTTTCGTAGATCGAAGTGAAAATCGCTTAAGCTGCTCCATACATTTGGAAAAGGCCGAGCTAGAAGTTCCAGCAAGGGAGTCTCACTAGGACGCTTTGGAACGAATTTCAAGAATTTTGAAGTTACCAACCTTTCCTCGCCGATATTGGGCAGCTCACGTCTGTTCCACCTAAAATTTTATGCTAATATTTGAACGTTTCGCTGATATGTTTTGCATGTTCTGATAGCAAATTTCGTGCTCTATAACATAACATAAAAATTAGTTTTCCGGAGCTGTTTACTTTCTGTTAAGTTCAGGTTATCTTTAGGAAGTTAAGGCGGAGAATAAAGGTTCCGACTTCCTCTCTCCAAGCGCTGTCCGCACTGAAGTTAAAGCTCTAGAGCAGCTCATGAATGGGTCCGTATGTTTGAGTAAGGCTTAGAGTAAGCAGATTATATGTTAGTAAGCTGCTCAACGAATATCGCGAGGACATCAGCAGCTCTGATACCTCTGTTGAATGCGAAAAGGAGGAGATGTCTGAAGTGCTGATGCTTATCGACCTGACATTCCATATTATCCACCTGAAAAACAAGGTTCATCAAACGGATTTTCAAAATAACTGCAACGCAGTGTTACAGAACACGAAATTGGCTTTCAGAGCATATAGAACACATTAGCGAAACATTCAAATGTTAGCATAAAATTCGTGAGAACGGGAACCTAGTTCTCAACGACATCGGTTCCGTAATAATAATCTGAACTTAACAGATAAGTAAATCACGGGGAGAACAGACTTTTCTAACAGTGTTATAGAGCACGAAATTTGCTATCAGAACATGCAAACATATCAGCGAAACATTCAAATATTAGCATAAAATTTCAGGTGGAACAGACGTGAGCTGCCCAATATCGGCGAGGTGAAGGTTGGTAACTTCAAAATTCTTGAAATTCGTTCCAAAGCGTCCTAGTGAGATTCCCTTGCTGGAACTTCTAGCTCGGCCTTTTCCAAATGTATGGAGCAGCTTAAGCGATTTTAGCACTTCGATTATACGTAAATAGAGGCAGTTGTCGAAGGTGCTAATTTTCGCCGACTTCGCTTTCAACTTCAACGACTAAAAAATCCACAAAAATTATTCCCTCAACCAAAGCCGTTTTGATATTCTAAAACTACGTGAAGTTTCCTATCAGATGATATCAAGCTTGCTAGCAAAACATTTCATCTTTGGAACGAAATTTCCGGTTGAAAAAAAACGAAAGTACTTATGTGCCAACCCAATATCTCATCGATTAGGACAGGCAAAAAAGCCTTCGTGGATTCTCGACCACCCAGTTTTTTCTTTGATGGGATTTATCGACGGTGTCACATTGGCAAAAGTGTGCTGATTCGAACGGTGCTTATTTCGATTAAATCCGATGAGTATTAAGAAAGTTATGATCGTTTAAAGTGAAACACTCAAAACGCTGAGAACTTTCCGGACAACCTAATATAAGGTCAGGCACGGTGTTTTTCACTCTTCTGTGCCTGTGAGGTCCATTTATTAATAAGCTTTTGCACACGTTTTGAATGTAGTGAACTGTGAACTGTACACTGGCACAAGGCTGCAAAAGTTGCACCTAGCTCCGCTCCTAGGCTAGTGAGGGCGTGAAGCTACCCTCAGGTCAACGCCTTTCTCTTTCACTTCTGTTGAACCACGATTTGATGACTTCTTATAAAGGGGTGTTTTCATGGCGTTGCTTGTCGTTTTACCATCATCCAAGGTTTCTGACTTCCACTTTCAATTATCTGGGGCGTGTTAGTTTAGTGGAGGTTGTCGTTTAGCAGCCTCAAATGCGCTTCGAGCTTCAAAAAATGAATGCAAAACCAATATATGTAGTTCATGCATATCGAGGTATACACATCAAATTCGATTGCTTTTCTCGAGGTCGCACCATAGTCACCACAAAGTCATAGCGTAGCCACTCGAAGCTGAAAATAAGTGAGGCCGTATGCATCACAGTTCATTTCCCTACAATTAGTCCACTTTCAGATTCTTATTATTTCCAGTGTACGAGCACGCGAGTTCCTAAAAAACCTGAAACCTATAACCTATTCCCTAGTAGAAAGTTATATCATAGCCACATGTGTTTTATTCAAAACTACATCTGTGAGACAGCATCAAACAAACGATAGAATTCTCACTGCATGTGCACAGCAACTCCTCGCGTATCCTGCCAGAACCGGAATCCCGGGAAACCCTTCCCTTGAAAAAACCCATTCTTTGGCCCGAAACATTCTTTTGCACGTTTGGGTGTTTTCCAGCCGCTATGCTCAACTTTCGCGTGACAATGTTTCGCACATAAGTTTAATTTCTCATG